TGAGGGGGGAAAAAATCATTATTTTCCAAGTTTAAATTTGCTGCTTATTCATGTTCTCCAAGAACTCCATAATCAGCTATTTTTACACTGATTGTTATTTTTAGTTGCTAAAATCATTAGATTGACAAAGTACAGTCTCCCCTCCCCCACAGAAGTCCAGGCTTCAAACCAACCAGGCTTCTTCTCCTGAACCTCATCTTCTATTTATGCATGGCCTACTTTCCGCCCGCACTTCCCCCTATAAACCCGGTAATTTGTCAAACTCGGGCTAATCTCCTTAATCCCCTGGGCTGAAGGATTTACGTTTAATGTTTTAATCTAGGGCCTCGCTATTTAAGTAATTAGAGGTCATATTTCTAGCTCTCTCCTTTAGATAAATTACCTTAGTTTGCTCTTTAATTCTAATTTATAAATAACAGAATTCTAAGAATTCCCAGTGGGCATAATTTGGAGTTTTGGAATGAATGTATGAATTAAGAAAAGAACGTTCTGTGATACTTGTGTTTCTTGCTCAAGCCTATTTTCCTTACAATTCAATTTTATTTATTATTACTTTAATTATTCTTATGTATAAGATACAATGTGGTAATTCAAAACCTGCAGTATATTTCAGTATTATGAAAAAAGGTAGTTAGTATTTCCACTTCCTTAAATATTTAAAAAATTTTGGATTAACATGTAGCAACTGCATATTTGTGAAATGGTATGACTCTTCAATACATGTTTACAATGTGTACTAGTCAAATACGGTAATTCATTTTTGTTTATTTCTTATTTCAGGTTTGGAAGTTGTGATTGGAATCCGCATTTAACATACTACCTAAGGCAAGCATTTGCTATTGTACTTTAGAAGTATTTGTTTGTTTTCCAGACTCCTGTTGTATACTTAGAATTCCTTAAGTCCCTTCCAACATTTTTTCATGCCTGAGAACTTGTGAGCTTTGGAAAGAATTATTTTCCTATCAGTTAATCTGGACATTCTTACAAAATGTCTCAAACATCTTTCCCGTCAGGAACAATTTATTTAGTCACAGAAGGACTCTAGATTTACAGTCTGAAAACCCAAACACAGAAAATGAACGGATAAGAGCTGGTGTACAGTGAATTGATTATAACACGGCATAGAGATGGGAAAAGTCGACACTCTGGAAAATATTGTCCCAAACAGGACAACATCATCCCTTGGCATGCGTGGTCTGTGTTGGGGGGCTCTGACGCTTTGTGTCTACCAGCTCATGTGTTCTCACAGATCTGCCTCTGAAGTCTGAGGGGCTTGAGGCTAAAGGGTCCTCTGGGCAGGCTTCCTGGGCCTCCTCTGGGGTGGCAATCCAGACCCATGTGCAGCCCCTGCCGGAACTCCCATCACCGGGCACAGCACTTTAACTCCCAGAGTTAGCCCCACCTGCCTCTCTACCTCCGGAGTGATGATCAAAGGTGTGCACTATCACACCAGGCCCTGCACGCTTTCTTTCAAGAGTTGAATAGTAATTAAAGCACTTTAGGTAGGAGTGAAAGTAATTTCTGGGCTAAAGAGTTTATGAGAAAAAAAAAATTAAAGGTAAGACGGAGTGGGAAGTTGTGTGTGGTGGCTAGCCTTAGCTCCAGGAGACTGGGGTAGGCACCGCAGTGTGGGGCAGCCAGGCAGATGAGCCCTGCAGGGCCCAACCGGACCGCTGACATGCATTACTCACTGACTGAGGAATTTACAAGACAACAATCCTTAGTAATGTCAAATTGGCTGGTGTTGGATAATTTCTTGAATTTCTGTGCTGCCCTGAACAAATATCTTAACCATCCATGTGTCGGTTGACTCATCTGAAGACCCACGGAGCTCTCGGGAAATGCTTTGAGCACATGCTCAGATGTCCCAGCCATGAGACGGAGTGGGGCTGGTCAGGCTGAGGGTTGAACCCAGCCCTAAGGAAAAGGCAGAGGTGCCTGCTGCCAAAAGGGACAGACAAACTGAACCCCAGGACACACGTGGTGGAGAGAACCAACTCCGGCAAGGTACCCTCTGAATGCCCTACTCAGATAAATAATTGTAAAGAACACGGTGGTGTTTGGAGCGGTGTTAAGATGAGACTGAGAACCGGGCCTTGCTTCTTCCTTTTGCCCCATCACAGAACAATTCAGGCAGAAATCGTCACAGGCTGAACTCACAGGCCCAGCAAGCTCTGCCATAGTGGGTCAATTTTACCATCTGATTGTTTTTCCCTCAGCCCCCGAGCAAATGCTATTTTCTGAACGTTCTCAGTTGCACTCACTGTTTGGGAACTGAGTCAAGAATCCAACGAGATTCTTCAGAACCCAAAGCTGATGCCTAAGGGAGCAGGCTTCTCCTCTTAGTTGCCATACGGAGCCATTAGATCTTCCAGCTAAAGGACCCCCCCAAAAAAAGGTTGTTGTTGGTGGTGGCGCATGTCTGTAATCCCAGAGGTAGATCCCAGAATTCAAGGCCAGCCTTTGTCCATAGTGAGTTCCAGGATAGCCAGGGTTACACAGAAAAAAAAATGTCATCTTGAAAAAACAAAACGGGGGTGGGGTTGGGTTGGGGGAGGGGGGATATGACAGAGGATCTCACTATGCAGACCAGAGTGATCTGAAACTCACAGAGAACCACCTGCCTCGGCCTCCTAAGACCGCCAGTGTGAGGTGTGAGCCCACGGAACTTGGCTTCCCTGACCCTTTTTCAAGTTTTACAAAAGGGATTTGGGGAAACAGATTAGCAGCTTTAGAGACTAGATCACGGGGAACCCATACACTCCGGGTGAGCACAGCAGCTCACTGGTAATCCCAACACAGGCAAGTGCGCTGGAGGCAGAGGCAGGAGACCCCAGGAACAAGCTGTGGGAGTGGGGTACACACGGGGCTCAGTGACAAAGCCTGCTTCCACATACACAAGGTGGACAGAACGGAAAAAGGCATGGCGTGTCAGCCTCAGGCTCCGGTACCCCACAGGTACACACATATCCCATACACAAATACATATGCCAATACAAATGATATTACACAGACTGCAACCCGGGTGTCTCCAAGGTCTCTGAGCAATGGATATGCAAATTAGAGAATTCATGCAACAGAAGGGACCAGACCATGGTGCCTACGGAAACAGGTAAGCGGCGGTAGATCCTCTTCGCCTGAACCCGACCTCAGGTGGGAGGATTACTGACTATCCTGACCGATATGGCCAGAGCCCCTCTCCCACACACAAACACAGACCGCTTCAAACACTTCATTGTGAACTAGTAACATTTTCTACCTCTGTGTGTGTGTGTCAAGGATGCACGCCTGTGTGCACATCATCTGTTCTACCCATCTTAATTTATCTTATTTTATGTGCTTGGGTGTTTTGTGTGTATGTATGCCTACCATTTGCATGCCTGGCACTGTTCAGAAGACCAGGGCATCGGATCCCCTAAACCCAGACTTACACACTGTTGTAAGCCACTGTGTAGGTGCTGAGAATTGAGCTCACGTCCTCTGGAAAAGCAGACAGTGCTCTTTAACCACTGTGCCAGCACTCCAGGCCATAATCTTTGTGTTTTTGTTTTGATTTTTGGCTTTTCAAGAGTTTCTCTGTGTAGCTTTGGAGCCTGTCCTGGAACTCACTCACTCCGTAGACGAGGTTGACCTCAAACTCAAGAGATCCGCCTGGCTCTGCCTCCCGAGTGCTAAGATTAAAGGCGTGCGCCGCTGCCACACAGCCCAGTCCATAATCTTCATTTTAGAGTAATTACTACTGGTTTCAAATTTCAGGGATAGTACATGAACCCCAGTTCTATCACAGACAAGTCTACCATTATCACAGGAGTAGAAAAACACATTTTTTTCTTGATATAAAAAAGTATAATATACAAGTAACATTATATAGTCTGAGTAAGAAGTGTGTGTGTGTGTGTGTGTGTGTGTGTGTGTGTGTGTGTGTGTGTAACAATTACAGGAAAGAGAGCAGGAATTTGAGAGAAAACAAGACTGGTATGTGGGAGGAATTAGAGGAAGGAATGAAATGAGGAAAATGATGTTGTTATTTTAATTTCGAAAGTTACAAGAAACAGTATTTTGGTTGCCTTGAAACACCACAGTGGACATCATTGTGCATGTCTGTCACTCCTGAAAGGAGATATCAACTAGTAGATAAAACGTTTTAACACATCTCCAGGCATAGTGCTACACACCTTTAATTCTAGCACTTGGGAGGCAGAGCCAGCCAAGGCTAATAGAGAGACCCTGTCTCAAAAACACAAAACAAAATTAAAAAAAAAAATTAAGTTGAAAAGCTCCTTATAATTTACAGGGAACAAATCTTTAAAAAATAAAGACATCTGGGGCTAGGACGACGGCCCAGAAGAAGGGCATTTGCCACCAAGCCACATGTCAGTCCCCAAGACCCTCGTGGTGGAGGCGAAGGCCCAACCATCCCGAGTCCAGGCACACTCACACCCTCAACATAAATAAAACCTGACGACGTTTCCTTCACCACCTTAATCTTTCGATTTCACTCGCCTTAAGGAGCATTGACAGGGACCAGGCAAGTATTGATCCTTTTCTTTGCTCTTTCTTTCAAACTGGTAAGGACCCAGCAAGACTAAATAAAGGGACGGCTCAGAAATTTCTGGTAGTAGAAATGCTATGTGGTCTTGACTAGGTCGTGGACACACGGGGTACATGCTAATCGTACTCACAGTCTCCACGCTTTACCCCACGACTCAATGAAGAGTCTGCAAACAGTATGTTGAACAAGGGATCCTGCCAAAGCAGAGGAGCTGAGGCAGGAGGATCTCCGGCCTCAACAATGAGACGGTTGTCTTTAAAATAGGAAAAGTTTGAATTCCAGTGTCTACATTAAGTGTCAGATTTGAGTTCCTCATGGATTGGTCAGATCCTAAAGAAAAAGAAATGCCCCATGCCCCCCACCCAAAGGCCAGACTCACCCCACCCCCAGGAGGCCTGCATCTCAAAACTCCTCTAACTGGACGTGTCCCAAGAAATCCCCCACTCACCTCCACCGTCTGCGAGGGCATCCTCAGTCTGGTGAGCTTGGCCTTGGCGGGCACTTTGGCGTCTGGTTTTTCAAAGCTCTGCTGACTGTAGTCTTCCAGGGGCGGCTTCAGCTCGGGGGACTCATTGGGAGCCTGGTCCTGGCCGTCCATGGGCCGGACGTAGGCCGTGGGCTTCTGCTGCATTGCAACAACACTCTTGGAGGGGAGGGGAGGGGGTGGAAAGGTCTGAGGAGGGGCCACCCCAAGGCTGGTAACTGCCACCAAACTGTCGTGGGCAGTCTCGCTATCTTGCACCTTCGCCACCAGGTCCTTGGAAGACGCGGCTGCGCAGTAGCTTTTACTGCTGGAGCTGGAGCCGCCACCGCCCCGGGCCTTGCTGGGTCCCTGCAGCCTGGAATGTACAGGTGACAGAGGCGGCACCGGCGAGGGCAGAGAGGAGATCAAGGGGGAGAGCTTCATCTCCGGAGGAGCCGAGTCACCAGCTCTGCGGTCACACTTTCTGTGGCTGGAACAGTGCCCCTCCTGACTGAGGCGGTCTTGACTCAGACGCTGGCTGTCGGGCGGGCCATAGTGCTTGGCATGGAGACCCGGCACCGATTCCATCCTTGGCGGTGCCATCTTTGGACTGTGGATAACGTTACCGGCAGAAAGGGATCCCGGGGCAGAAGAAGTATGGACAGGCTGGTGGTGGTAGACGTGGGTGCGGAAGGAGTGGGGGGCCAGGCTGCCCGCCCTGTCATGAAATGAAGGGTATCTCGGCTTCCCGGGCCTGTCTTCAGAACCATCCAGGCGCTGAGGGCAAGCCTTGGCGCTCAAGAACTCCTTCATCTCTTCGTAGTCGCCTAGCATGTTCTGTATCCGACTCGACAGCTCATCACCTTTTGCAGTCTGAAAAACAGAAAGACAGCAGACTCAGACTGGGGAAACGAACCTAAACAGAGCAATCACTTAATAAATTATGATGTAATATCATGAAGAAAAAAACCCTCTCAAATTCATGTGTAATGCAATGTTAACTATTTCCCCCTGCTGAGAAGCCTGCCACAGATACACATTACTAATTACAGGAGACTACCATTACAAAAGAAAACCACACACTTTGGTAATTCTGACTAACAATGTTCAAAGAGTTTTCAGATTGTTTTCAAAAACAACCTCTGGGTTCACTTAAGTTATTTTCTCAGTTGCGGCCCCCTGATTGAACTCGGTTGCACTGAATAACTTCATCACTGAGTTTAATGCTGGGATAGGCCAGCCTTTCTCCCTCCTACCCACAGTAAATACCTTGTAGGGCTCTCCGAACAGCGGGGTCTTCTCAGCAAACACCTCTTTCTCTTGGTGAGCTTCTTGGTTGCGTCTTTCCTTCTCTCTAATCCGAAGCAGGTTTCTATCTTCATTGTACAAGCTTTTCCAAATGCCACAAAAGAACAACAACAACAACATATCAGTATCCACACGGTTTGGTGTGCACACAGAGGTGTGGAGGGAGCAAGAACAGGTCCAAGAAGATATGGTGACAGGGACGGAACGAAACGGGGAGCACCTGGGGCGGCAGACACAGCTCGGCAGTCAGGAGCGCATGCTCCTCCTGCACGGGACCAGAGTTCCGTTCCCAGGACCCACCCAGGCCTAGCGGCTGGCTCACAGATCACAGCTGCCTGTAAGTCCAGCTCAAAAAAAAAAAAAAAATCTAACACCTCTTCTGGCCTCCATGGACACTCGTGGGTGATCACTCGCACACACTTCAAAATAAAAAAGGAGGAAGGGGATTAAAAAAAGGAAGGAAGGATGGGAAGAGCACATGTCTTACTGGACCAGTGGCTCACACCACTAAGGAGACAGACCATCCTTGTCTACAGAGAAAATTCAAAGACTGATTTTCTAATTAAAAGATCACCAAACTCCCAAGACATCATTTATTCTCAGTCTACTCTGAGGGTATCTTAGCATACAAAGTCAGAAAGATGATTTGTACTTATTTCAAATGTCAAGGATGAACAATCCAATTATACATGTCAGTTCTATATACTAAGAACATCACACAGTCCAATTTGAACCACATAAAAATGTATCCTACAGCATCGGATGTGGCATCAAACTGGTTCAGATGAACTCACTGAAAGAACGCCGATTCCAGCCACATAGAAGCCGCAAACAGGCCTGCCCCACTATCCATAACACGGTGGCCCTCCAGACCCTCCTCCGTGACCTACACTGAATAATGGGAATAAAGGAACCATAAAAAGACTTTTTCTTCTTGACCTGCTTCTGGGGATCTGCTAAGACTTCCTTCCCGGTGTTCTCTGAACAAAGGAAACATTCAGCCGCCTTAGGTGTGCGTCTGCCCCAATTCTAGCTGCTGTCCAATGCCCTCCAATGCTTCCTCACGCTTCCAACCCTGACAGGAGCCTCCTGGTCTCTGTGCTGCCACAGCTTCCTCCTCAAATTCAGTCTTCCATTAATAAATGGGTCTAAGGTCCCAATCCTCATGTCACTGTCCATATCTAAAATGACAGTCATTTGATGGCACCTTATGCTACAGAATAACCTCTCAAGCTTTGTTTTGGCATTAGAATTCCCTGACAATCTGGTTTAGGTGAACACTTGACCGGATCCCACAGTGGCCCTGCAAGCCTGTCACGCACACTCTACTTGGCCATCCCTCTTGTGAGAGCCAGCCCCTGTCTCTAATTCCCACTCAGATCCCTCTACTGAAAGGCAAGCATTCTTCCAGGACTGGTTCTGTACTGCCCTACAGGGCCACTCACTCTCTAAACCATCCTGGGAGTGGGCTTGCTTCCATTCCAGTCCCGAATCTCTGCCCACTCTCCCTCTACCTCCCCCGACTTCAACCAGATGCCCCCCACCCCTTAACTTTCAATTTCTGATAGATTCAGTGACTCAAATGTCACCCACTTTAAAGATGCCCCTCAAATCCACCAACTATGTTCCTGCCCAGCACATCATTGCTTCTTTTCTCTCTCCCTTGGGATAGGATTCCATTAGAAAAGAACCTCATCTTCACTCTCACGGTGCTTAGATGTGGTACTGCCTGGAAGTCAACCAAATATTTTTATATTAAAGCACAGCCATTATGCATGCAGTAGTATGTATGTGTGTATGCATGTATGTATGTATGCATGCATTCTGGTTTTTCAGGACAGGGTTTCTCTGTGTAGCCCTGGCTGTTCTGGAACTCACTCTACAGACCAGGCTGTCCTGGAACTCAGATTTATGCCTGCCTCTGCATCCTCTGCCACCACCGCCCAGAGCAGTCTATTTTTTTATATACATAAACTTCCTGTGCAACTTTCTTAGATTTAACACTGGAAGAAATATGCAAAAACAATCTAAGAAAATAAGTCAACCTAAAATTTTCTATTTCATCAGAGTGACACATGCCTTTAATCCCAGCACTTGGGAGACAAAGGCAGCTGGATCTCTGGGTCTACACATAGAGTTCCAGGGCAGCCAGGGCTATCCAGAGAAACCCTGTCTTGGAAAATAAAATAAAATTCTACTTCTTTCAACCTGAAGAGGAAGGGCAAGATACCAGACTAAATATGACAGGACTGGTCAAAAATTATCTACTTAAAACAAGGTGTGGTGGCTCATGTCTGTAATCCCACTCAGGAGGCTGCTGAGAGTTTGAGGCTAGCCTGGGATACATAGTCACTTCCAGGCCAGCCTGGACTATAGAGTGAGACCCTATCTCAAAAGTAAAAATTAAAAAAGAATAAAAATAACTATACGCTTAGACCAGTGTTATCCGAAACTTACTGAATAGTCAGTTCCCAGCACCCACATCAGGCAGCTCACAACCACCTGCGACCCTGGCTCTAGGGGCCCCCAATCCTCTGGCCTGGGTGAGCTCCTGCACTCATGTGGTGCACATAAATTCATGCCGCCTGTTACATATACCATAAAGAAAAGTACAAGAATCTTTTTCTAAAACTTCAAAGATGACAGATAGGAACTCATAGCTGCAAAGATCATTTAATGCCAGCTGGCATATTAAAACAGAAACTAAAACATAAACTAGATTCTTCTCTAGTAGGAACGGGGTGGGTCACAGGCTGGCAGCAGTGTGTCTCTGTGAAGCCTCGTCCGGCCACGCCTGCGGCACTCCTGCCTTCCCACACTCTTGGCATCACAACGCTCCCTCCTTTCTTTGGTTTGTAGAGCACTTGGGCATCGAACTCACAGAGATCCGCCCGCCTCTGCCTCCCCAGTGCTGAGATTAAAGGCGTGAACCTGGCTAGAGCCATATATAATAAACATGACCAGAGACTTGTAATAACTGTCACTGTTCAACTGAAAAAAAAAAAAAAACTACAAGTAGTGAGGTGAGCAGAGACGTCCCTGACTGTACTGTCTGTTGGGCGGGTCTGTGTCCAGACCGGGAGACTCACCCATGTCGTCTGTGGTCTCTTTCGCCAAGGCTCCTGGACAAGGCAGAGGGCCAAGGAACCAGTTCACAGAGATGCTCAGGGTAGGGTAGGCCGGGGACCCTCTCTGGGCCGCCTTTTTTCTTCATGCAGCTAACTGCATTTGCCAGTTACCCCGGCAGGCTTCCGGTTTACAGCAGTATTGACTTACTACAAATCTGCGGTAGCCTAAGTGTTGTTTCCGAAAGGGCCCTGGGCAATATATTTTTTTTCAGAAATATTTTTTTTTCTTAGTCCCGCTGAAATCAGGGGCAAGGTGAATTTCAAAACAGAGCAATACCATCACCCACAGCAGGAACGGAAACTTTGCAGACTGTCTGAAACCAAGTACAGCGTAAGGAAGGACTGTTATGGGCACGTACAATCGTGTGCAGTGTGCATGTGGGGTGGAGACAGCTTTGGCGAGGCTGTTCATTCCTTCCCACCGTCACGTGAGTGCCGGAAATGAAATACACTCAAGCTTTCTCTGCAGGACTGCCACTGGGCGGTGTCCTTTCTGTGTTACTACGGTCACTGGTGTGTGTTTGTCCACGCACACACACACATGACATGGGGACATGCCTGCTACAGCACACGTGATGATCACAGACTACTCTATGGTACAGTTTCTCGCCTTCCACTGCCACGCTTCACCTTACCTGCCGAGCCATTTCACCAGCCTGGAAGAGTACATGCATATGTGGATGGGTGGACGGATGTGTGTAGGTTTGTATGTATGTGTGTATGTATGTGTGTGTGTGTGTGTGTGTGTATGTGTGTGTGCATGTATGTGTGTATTTGTGGGTTTTTTTCAAGACAGGGTTTCTCTGTGTAGCCCTGGCTGTCCTGGAACTAGTTCAATAGACCAGGCTGGCCTAGAGATCACAGAGATCCACCTGCCTCTGCCTCCTGAGGGCTGGGATTAAAGGCGTGCGCGGCAACCGCCCGGCATGCCTGGGAGAACTTTTAAGTGAGGGAATTTTTTTAGGCAGCAGTGAAGGTCTTAGTGATTCTCTCTCTGTAATTACCCTTGAATAATTACAAGTTAACTGTGGCTTTAATTAAAGGCAACCAGCTCCCCCGGAGAAGCAACACAATTTTCACTCTGGCACACTCGGTAACATTAACTGATAGCCAAACAACCGTAAGTCAGAGATGCTCGCTGACGGCCACAGCACTCTACACTAACTCGTGCTTCTGTGAGCATCAGTAGGGTGAAGGCTTCTACAGGAGCAGACTGCAGAGGCCACAGTTTCCAGTCTTCAGAGGCTGTTAGGTGAGGAGAGTGAATCTGAGGCGCGATGAGAATCACAGCGCGGAGGACAACAGCTCTGGCCCGGACTGGCGCCTCTGTGCTGGGCCTCAGCCAGCACTGCCCTGGCCACATCACTTACTCTCCTATTTGGTTTTCGATCAGACCTGTCATAATAGGATTTTTTATTAGACCCATTTTCCAAGTGGAAAAAAAATAAGGCTCAAAGACTGGCTTCCTCATGACGCCCTGGAAATCCAAAAGCCTGGCAAAAGCTTATGTTCTCAGTCACAGGTCTGCTGCAAACCTGCCTGGCTGTGTAAAAAAATGGGGTGGTGACGACTAAGAAGGCATGCTAACTTATAATCACCTTAATTCCTTAGTTTAAGGAGGTACACGTCAGTCCAGGTATTATCCCTGACAGGAGAACAATCTCAAAACCACAGAATACATGACCGGTTCAACTAATCACACAAAGACCTTACAGGAAGCTGTCAGAGGGGGCGTGCAAGCTACAGGTGCTCTTCGGCTTCTCAAGACGGGGCTACAATTCCTCTTTAGATCCTTTTGTTAAATTTCACAAACTCGACGGCACTGATCTCATAATCTAGTAACCTCTGGACTCATGTTTCTCACATACTGAGACTCACGTGGATTTATTTCATGGACAGGCGATATAAGTAACCTTGCACCTAAGTCCCATAATGTTCACAACAGGGAGTCTCT